TCTTGGCCCAATCTTGCGAACCCTCATTTTTTCCTTAATTAATTATCAAATTTGTTCAGATTTAGTCATTTTCTTATCGCTAGCAACAGTATAAAATGTCTTTTTATTTTAAATTTAATTAAAATCTAATCAATTGAAATAATATATTTCCAATTTATTATATTGACAGCAGACAATATAAACATTGCAACTCCATCTGTCCACATAACTTCAGTCTCTGAGCTCTATATACAAAGGAAGATTTGATGCTCAACAATTTCAACAATACAATCACCTACACTGGAATCAACTTACTGTCTGTACAGATATTATAAATTTTCCAACTAGAAATATCACTAAAATGACTTTACTTAAAAATATATTTATCTATGAATGAGGAAGAATTGTTTTACATATTAAAACATTTAAGAACTATATTTGTCACACTAATTGTAAATAGATAATGTGATTTCACAGAGAGAAAACAATTATTCACTAATTTAATTTTTTATCATGTTACATAATGATTTTTTGGAATAAACTGATGATTTAAATATAATATCAGACCTAAACTATAGTAAATGTATAGTTATTAATATATGAGCCTTTCAGTTAACAGAATGACTAATTCCAATTTCAACATTTTTTATTACTAATTTTAGTAATATTTCTAGTAAAAAAATGTATACCTTTGTTCATAGTAGAATAGAAACATTTTATTGGCTTAATATACATCGTAGCCATGGAGTCTGGCCCATTTAGTGTTAGTAGGAATTAGTTTTATAAGTAGAAGAAAATAAGTACAGTATAAGATGACAAAATCAAAAATATTTTTATATAACAAACATCGTAAATATTTTTATCCTCCAAATATTTTTACTATTTATATGATAAATATCATAAATGAATGAATACATATATACTAAAGAAAGTTTACTATACAGAACATAACAAATCAAAACAAATAGTAGACATCTTAAGATTACAACACACATGTAGAATCATACAATTAATAATAACAATATTTAAAAGACACCCAAATTGTGAATAAATACACGTATGCCCATGAACATATGAACACATGCCTGACTGACCTAAAGCTGAGGGTTCGTACTTGTATTGATAAGAGTCACAAACACTTATAATAAAATAAAATATTTTGCTTAACTGGTCAAGATTTTTTATATGCAACACATACTCCAGTTATAAATCATCTGTGGCAGCCTGGATGTAGGTATTTCCTTCTATGTGTCTCCAGAAACTCCAGTATCAAGTGCTTTAAACCGTTATTGATAAGTTGGCCGCACTACTTGCAGACTTTTTTTGTATTTATGTCGTATGTAATGTTCCCATGGAGCAATTTTAGATGGTCACTACCCAATACTCTTAAACGACTTACTGTCCGTAACTTTCTTAGAGGTATCATAAATTTTAAATAATTTTCGGGTTCTGAGCAATTGTAACCACTGATACGTCGATACATAGGGCTGTAATTTGAATTGTAGCCATGTTCAATGTCTCTGGAGTATAAATTGTTGGATACAGTTGTTAAAATAGCATTTTCTCATAGTACTATATTTCAACAATGCAATCACCTACTCTGGCATTGTATGTACAGACATTATAAATTTTCCAACTAAAAATATCACTAAGATGACTTTACTCAAAAATGTTGAAATTGGAGTGTCATTCTGTCAACTGAATAGCTAATATGTTTCGCTCATCCATGAAATATTTTCATGTTTCGCTTCTTGTTTCAGACCAGTAATATAAAATAGTTTTTTAAATTATGCCATTGTCTTGATTCGCTGGATTATATATACTTTTTTTTCTAACTTATAATTTTAAATAATTTTAAGTTTACATTTAATTTGGAAATTAATAATACACTTATATTCTATTATTTTTGGAAATTCATTTTCAACCTGAATTTCTTTTTTTCTTTTTTCTTTTTTTTTTATTATGAGTGACAGTTACTAATTTAAAATAAACTAAATTATACTTTAGAAGATAAGATATTTTAGGGGAAAAATTTTTGAACTTAGGACATTTAACCTGTTAAGCGACATCGCTGAGAATAAGACCTAGCTGTTATTAAAGACCATTAAATTATATATTGAAATACCGAGTTTAATCAAATTCTTTGCAGGCATTTTGAGAAAATTGTAAAAATGTGCCAAATCGATCATATAATGCGGTACTTCCTGTTAGCCGATTTTCAAGAAAAAGATGCTGTAACATCCTAAGGATATACCTACCTTAAACACGTAATACCAGTTTTGTATGCCTTTTTTTTTAACTATGGTGTTCACATATATACACAGAGACCAATTCGTGAACTTGGTTACTTGAACATACCTGTACCACTACAACCCATGAAGGGTCTTGGGGGTTCAGTACTATATAGGAAAAACACTGTTTCTAGGACAACAGTTGTGCAAGGAGGTGATTTGACCGATATCACGCTCAACTGCCAGGTTTTCCCCCTTAATCAATTATTTAATTAAGGGTACCCACTTTGTAGAGGCTGGGTGTTTCCCAGGGTCACCCCACAGCCAATGAAATAGATAAATAAATTTTGTGCCATGAGCCGTGGTTCGAACCTGGGACCTTTAGCATTGGAAGCTCAGTACACTACCACTGAGCTACCCCACTCCCTTTATTTGAACATAGGAGACCTTAAAGCGTGTATTTCCATTATTTTGAAAAATTTCACAATCACAATACTTTCTGTTACTATATATTACATTTAAAGCTAGGTAAGTGTAACAAACAAAAGGCACTTTAAAGGAAGAAATTTTTGAAAATTGATTATTTCAGCTCTGCCAAAATATTTCAATGTGAATAAAACCTACCTGATATTGAAGATCACTTGCTATAACCAGTTTAATCAAAATTTTAAAAGCCATTTTTGAGAGAATTATAAATTTTACAATGTAAGTAAAATAAACCTCATAATTAATATGAAACATGTAAAATTAAAATAAAGATACATGATTTATGAATAAAGTGGTCTTAAACAGTTGGGGGCGACATTAGATCAAAATCATAACTCAGTTATGCAAGTTAAATTGAACCAAATGATGAAGTTTTTCTAATATATTCCTATACTAAAATTGGTTTAATTAATAAAACTATAAAAATTGATTTAATAATTAATTAAATATAATTTGATAATTATTGGTTGGCGACATTAAATTATAATCTGAGAGTAACGTATATTTGACCAATGCAAACAAAACTTATCTCATTTATTTCAACAGTAACAACAAACAAAACACAACAGTAATTTTGAAACAACATAGTACAACTACTAATAAATAATTCATCTCGTGATTTAAAAAAAAAAAGTATATATTAATAAAATTGAAGTTCTTATCAACAATAAATATAATTACAAAAAAATTACTATAATACAATCAACTACCTTGTAGGTAGATCAATTAAATATTAAAATGGCAAACCTAAATAATTTATTTTTTACTTAATTAATTTTCACACAGTGAAAAAAATATTATTGCTTTACAATAAATATCATTATTTTACATTATTAATAGAAAAAAGTTTTCAACAAAACTTTAGAAATTTCTAATAATGAAGTGGTATAAATTAAAACAAAGAAAATACATTACATTAAAATTGTTCATTTCAAAATACACTATGTACATTTAAACTATAATAGAATATGGTCTTATCACAGAAGAAAAATTTTCAGTTATTGTTAAAAATAAAATATTGGTAACAAATTGACGTCTATTACAAGAATTTTCACATTTTAAATCATAAATAAGTTTAATTAATACTGAAGGATTCAATTATTTATATTACATATTTACAAATAACCTCTTATGTTGTAATGCAATGGGAAGTAATTAGCACCCGCTTAACATCTAACGACGCCAGTTACTATCGGGAAATAAAATTTTTAGAAACATCCCAAGTAAGATAAATTTATGAGACAAAAAAATAGATAATAAACATTGATCCGATGTGGAGTCAGTCAGTCTTTTCTATTGACCAGCATTAGAAACTAAAACTACAAGACCAATAATTTGTACCTTAATAGTAAAATATCTTAATCGTAGTAATGTTAACAATGAGAACAAATTAGTTTTTTTTTTTTTTAAAGTCAGTCACAGAATCTGAACACATTCGGTATTTACACAAATAAATAAACTTAAGAAAAAATATAAATAAGACAAAAATAAGATGAGAGACTACAATAAATAACATTAAGATAAATACAGACATTATTTTCACTAATAATAACAGAGGAACCAGAACTAGTCACTTTATAATTCAGCTTAAGGTTTAATAAATACTAGATCCGATAATACAAGAGAAAAGGAAAAATTCGGTTTAGTGTTTTCTTAGAAAATACTTTCTTAAACAAATACAAAAAGAAAAGAAGTAAAATATAAACATATTCACTAAAATTTGTAAGAGACCACAATATTAGAAATAATTTTAAAAATAAATAGGAAAATATATGGCAAGTAGAACCTAGTTCTATCATTGACTTATATCTCAAAGTAATAATAATAGAAGACAGTATGGCAATAGCATTGTACAACAATTGCAAGGTCCAAAATTTAAAACTCCACAAAATAAGTTCAGATATAGCATACTTGTATTTCTTAAATGACGTGTCACTTAAAATAGTAGTATAAACAAACAATTCATTAAAATTTTAATTATTTATATAATGTTAAAAATTACATTAAAAAATATTGTTTACAGTAGCTCAATTATAAAAAAAAAAATCATGAAATAGTTATTATCTTTATGAATCACAGCAAATAGAACTACATTATTACCCCTATATAATACCAGATATAGGTATTTTAATTTAAAAAGAAAACAAATTATATATATTTCTTATACCTCGAAAAGATGACTTTTAAAAATTTTTAAATTTAAAAAAAGTAAAATAAAATAGATGTAAAAAAATTAATAAACTAAAGTTTTTCTCGTTTGCAGTAACAATTTGATGAGCACAATTACGTTTCCCTTGTTTAAATTTACAATGATTCTTCTAATTTAATTTTTTCTTTGTACTTCTCCAGAGTTTCATGAATAGTCGTCGATGAATACCGGCAGTTCTCTTCCTCACAAGCACATGTGAATTTTTTACATTTAATAATCCAAAATTTCTCACCATAGTCAAAACTGTAAGGAAAACAGAAAACTGGGTATTGAGTACAGGAATAAGTAAAGTTCAATTCGTATGATTACAACCACCTTTGAATTAAAATACATTAGAATTTTTTTTTTTTCATAAACACATTCGACCATATTTCCTAATTTCAAAGACATAATATGATGCTCCCAGGACATGCAATAAAATCAGTTTCTACTATTCTCAAATAGCTAGATTAATAGGTAAAAGTGTTGTAGAATAATCATACAATGAAAAGAATTAAAAGGTACAACTTCTAACTATAAGGGGTAGAAATCAAATATTCTGCGGATATAAAATTTTCTATTAAGTAATAATCTAATAATAATTTGTTAAATTTAATATTGTAATTGTTTTGAATGTCGGAATTCATGAAATAGAGGAAGTTATTAAAAAAATTTAAAATTGCTACAGTTTCTAGTTGTTTCAAACAATGAGATGCGTGAGAATGGCCAAGATTTAACATTCAATGTGTTATTAGCGCCAAACTGGCAATTAGCCGTTCAGTTTTAAGTCAGTGATTTCAGTGTTAGATAATTCTTTAAGTAGAAGGCCGTTATCAGTGTTAGGGTTGGATTTTTAAGTCAAGAAATGTTGGTGAAGTTATCACATAGAGTTTGAAATATCAATTAAAACTAATTCGGCTTAAGACAATAACCAACAACTTAATGTTACATGATTAATAATACTTAATTTATCTACTTACCCAAGTTCTTCATTTGGTGCTATATCTCTTGCAGCAAAAAACGCTATCCTTGGAAAATGTAAGTCATGGTGACCAATAAAAACTCTCACAGGAACCAAGTTAGGCTTGCAGCTGTGATTAACAAATCGTGTGACATTACCATATTTACATGCATCAATACAATATGATTCACCATCCTGTAAATTAAGAAATTAATAAGAGTACACCATTTCATGGATCATTAGTAGCAAAACCCTAATTAAACTTAAGGTTTCAAACTGAAATCATTTTTCTTTTCAAAACGTTTTGTTAATTAAGACGTCTTATATTCGGGAAATCCTATAGGTTTCATTTCAATTAATTTTACGAAAATAACTATACAATCTGGTAGCTTCGTACAAAATATATAAATAATTTTTATGTTCTATTAACATTGATTCAAGTTTTTGAATAACCTAATGCTGATTTTTACAATAAATCATGTCATGATTAAATCTAAGTAGGATGATATATTTCAAAATTTTAATAATTAGATATTTAAATCAGTGAAATGGTTATAAAAAAGTCACTAAATATTTCATAAAATTAATGAAATGTACAAGCTGTAGGTTTATAGCTTCTGAGATCTTCAATCAATGACTACTTATTATAATTTGATTAAAACATATAATAAAAACACACATATATGATTAATAAATAAGAATATTACCCTATTGTCTAAATCAAACAAGTAAGAATCATCTTCACGGGTATCTGCTTCACAGTCTGATATAATTTCACCAATGTACCTGCAAGAAAGATAAAATGTACAAATAATTTTACCATGCTCATAAAAATATTTATAAAAAAATAAGATAGATTAATTAATTAACTTTAATATCTAAATCAATAATATAAAAATAGATATTCATCATATAATTGATAAATTTGTTTAACTATCCCGCCTTAAAAAAAAAAAAATAATAAAAAATAAAATAAAAATTAAAAAAAAATAAATAAAAAATAAAAATAAAAAAAATAAAAATAAATAAATGAATCAGTGGCTCAAATTATGAGTGCTGCTACAATCCTCTCAAGTAGGCCTGTCTGTGGTCCTTTAAGTCAGATCTAGATGGCTATCAGGTGAGCGCCAACCTTAAGCAACCAGAGTGAGATAGTCACTAAAGACATAATAGTGAACCAGGTGGGAAACAAACCCAAACTGAAATGAGCCAATTAGAATTTTGATTTATTGAAAATAGAAAATTTTTTTGGAAGATTACTTTAATTTTATAGAAGAAAAGTAAATTTTATTTTGGGATGTTTATTCCCCTAAGAATTATAATAATGAACAATAGAGGTGCAAAAAAAATAAAATTATAGCTAAATTTCAGTATGTTTACAAATTTGTACTGATAAGAAAAATAGATGACTACGAAATAACAGTAAAATGAGACTGACAACACTTAAATACAAAAATTTAATTCTAACATTTATTCGGAAGATTGATTGATGAGAAGATGGATAAATAATTGGTATTTAAAAGTAGTCAGGGAATATCATGAACTGTTTGAGAGTAGCAATAGATTAATTTGGGAAAAATGATATTCCAGGACAGATATTGATCAAAAATTACACCAAAGTTTCTAACGGAAGTGTGGAAGCGAATAGGTAGACCAATAAGGTAGAGTAGGATGAGGGAGCAGGATGGCTGAATGGGCTAACGCGTGTGCACAGCACCGCGAGTTGCCCGGCAACCAGATAACCGAAGTTATGAAATTAAAAAAAAAAAGTACGAGTTCGTGTCCCAGTGCAAGAGGGAATTTTAAATTGCCCACCCTCGTCCTCCGGCTCAAGAAAGTCCTGTATAGCCTAAAAGGTGAGATAGGGAAGAACAAGACAGAGAAATAAGGAATTGAATCAACAGATTTAAGGCATTTGAAAAATACAAATAAGTAAAAGTTCTAACAATAACAATTATATTTAAATTATAGTATTATTTCAAAAATACTCAACACTGTACCACTACAGACTAGGAAAGATCTTGGGTTCAGTACTTATTAAGGAAGTACTGAACTTTTGTTAACAGTGGTGCAAGGTGATATGACCGAGATCATGCTTAACAGCCGATTTTAGCCTTAATTTATTGATTAATCAGTTCATTAAGAGTATTTAGTTTATTAATTAACAGTATCTTATCCTGTTTGAATTATTCCATTTTAAAAATACAATTTCTATTAGAAAAAAAATGTGTCTTATGTGCTGAACATCTATAAAATACAAATGTTTTTATAAAAAAGATATAATAAAATAAATAAAATATCTTACTCGCAAACATAGGTACCCTTGGGTATTTCCTTTAATGTAATAACACCCCATTCTTTATGCCTGGTCCTGCAAACCTGAAGTTTAGCTTTTAAACCTCTTTGAACAACACGATTTTTACAAGTAATAGCATTACATTCACATGTCTGGTTGCATTCAAAAATCATAGGTGGATCTGAAAGGTTAATAAAACATTTAAAATATGAAACTCGAAATGAACAACTGATATTATATAAAAAAAAAAAAAATGTATCTAAACAAAACGTTTATGGCATGAAAATAACTTGTGAAAAAATTGGTTTGTTGAAGTAAAAGTAATTTCACACAGTATGAACATTTTAATATTTGAGAATTGAACATTTTGAAGAGAAGTGATATAACAGCAGTCCGCTGTTTTGAAAATTGTTAAAAAATAGATTATAACCCTTGAACTAAGAGTTAATATGTATATAAAAGCCATCCACCACTTTTTTGGATTTAAATTATTCGATAGGTTTTTACCAATTTATTACAATTATTAAAATAAGAATATTTACTAGTTAAAAGTTTTAAAAATTGTAATTAATTTAGTTCTTTTTTCACATATTAAAGACTTAGTACAAAGTATATTAAAATTGCAAAGATAAAAAGGAACGGAGCATGGGAGATGTATTAAAATATATTAAATTCCAATAATTTTTTAACAATATTGCAATCAATTAAATAAGTCATGAATTAACTAATACTTTACTCTTATTAAATATATATATATTTATTTTATTTTTATTTTTTTAAATCTCATAACGGGTCAATGAAGAAAAGAAAGATGGCAAAACAGGATATTTTAAGTAAAATAATTCATTTAATCAATAAAATAACATAATGAGGAATATTAAAAAAGATACTAAAATGGATGAACGGGATATAATAGGTATATCATTTTTAGGTTAATTACCAGAGTTCAGTATTGTAACTCAATTGATTACAGTATAGAGTAATTTATTTATTATATTAATTATTTATTATGAGATTTTTAAGGCTAAATAAACAGCTCATACTGTCTCAGTCTAGATCTTAAACCTTTAACGATATGGACTCACACGAGTTGAAACCGAATCGGGCCTTGGCAACAGTGATCTCATATATGAGTTAGGAGCCTGTCGGGCTCTTTCTGGTTAAACAACGGAGTCCTCAGTGATAAATTCTACTTTTAAATTATCTTGCGGCCTTCCCATGAGGTAGTAGGTAATTGTTCTGTGGCAGAAGATTGTGGGCATTTTTAAATACCTTAAATAAACAGGCATAAGTGGTCAGTAAAGATGATAAAAAGATTTCTGTTTTCAAGGAGACTCTAACCTTCCCACTCATTGTTGCTAAAAGGCTAATGAAAGATAGTTCCTTTTCATTTTTCTTTTAAACATAAAATCCTAATAAGGCAATATAATAGACTAATCAATAATTGAGGCATTTCGGAAATAAAACATGGTATTTAACATATTTTGTGAATTGAAGTTTTTAGAAATAATAAGATTCATCATGGTTAATTTCATATACTGTTGAAAGAATTTGGAGAGCTTTTGTTTTGTTTTTTAAACAAACCTCATTATTACTCTATACTGCAAAGTAAATCTATTTCATACTTTGTATCAATATTAACTATAATTGTAATACAATAAAAAATAAATAAATAATACAATTTCTTAAAAATAAAATAAAACCTTTGAAATTGAAGTCAGGTAAAAGTTTTCCTCTATTGTCATACCAACAACGAAGACTGATTCTAGAACACATACAACTTGCAGTCGTACACATATCTTCACAGCGACAACCCTGCAACAAACATTGATTTTATAATAAACGGTGGACTCGTGGAATGATTCATTAATTCAATAATTGAAGTCTGGTACCCAGTTACACTCATGAACTTGAGTCAAGGCCACCTATAGGAAACAGATCTGATAACATCCCCTCCACCATCACAGATATCACATTAGTGGAACTAGACTGTCCCAAAGAAAGACGGTTTTGTTTTGGGAGCTTCCTTCTTTTCAGCTGTACTTCTATCTTACATTACAACACCAATGATTAAAACTCTTTCATCAATTTAGAAACAAGCAGAGGAATGTCTTTCTGAAAATGTTCAACTTTCTTCGGTGTGGATTGGGAGGAATATTGCTTTCAAGCTAGAGAACAAAATAAATTTCAATATTTGTTTTATTACATTAGTTATGCCTAAAGAAATTATCTTGTGATCAAATAGTCAAAACAACTATCTTAATCTCCTCAGTCGTGGAAGACTGAAATATCAAATAGACTTCATTCTTTGTATACTAGATTATCGTTTAAAAATTGTTTCAAAATTATTCAAGTGAGCACTATGAAAAAGTACTTTAAAAAAAACCAATGTTAGAAAATGGCATTGATTAACATTATATTTACTAATGATACCATTAAGAACATGAAATGCGTTTATGGGTCATAAGAAATGGATTTTACCAACAAATTGATTAAAATTTTATAAAATAATTATTCTAAATTAAAAAGAAACGGGTATAGTTACATCATCCCAAAATAAAATAAAAATCTGTACAAATTAGTGAATAGTTGATGTTAAATTTGGGAGTTTCTATTTATAAACAATTTTAACTATTAATTCAATTATTTTCTTAATGTTTAATTCTTCCTCTCAGTACTTATATGAAAAAAAAAAAATTTAATTTAATGTACCATTAATTTTTATATATTTAATCTTAGTAGATATTGAGAACTGTAGGCAACATAACCAAGAGCCTTAATTGTTTTGGTGAATATTTAGAGTACTGTTAATAAAATAAAATTAATTTTAAGTAGTAAAAAATCAGTTAATGATTTTTTCGTATTAAATAGAACTAGTTCTCCCGTGCGAATAGTTCACATAGTATATTGGTCAGTGGACATAAGAAATAGAATCAGTAGAAATAACTTAATGGAATGTATTATGAGATATAGGAAATAATTTTCTTTTTCTTGGAGGAATCACATTAGCTCCTTCATAATAATAAACAAAAATATGTGTACATTAATATAGGGTTCGTATCTTTGTTAATAAATGTATTTTTTTTTTTTTTTGTTCGGTTCAGAATTTAGTAATCTTTAAATGATCATAGGTGCAATCCAGTAAAACATGTATACTTTTTGAGTTATTGGCAAATAAAATATCTTTCCATTCATAAAGTTTTTTCCCGAAATTTCAGGGGGGATGTGACTATGATTCATCACTTTTCCATGAAATACCCTTACATTTTTAATACATCATTCATAAAAAATCCTTAACTCCTCACAGCTGGAAAAGGGACGGAGGGTGTGGCCGAATAGGCTAAAGTGTGTGCACAGCACCGCTAATTGCTGGCAACCGGATAACAGAGATTTGAGATGATATAAAAGGTACGAGTTCGCGTCCCGGTGCCGGAGGGGATTTTAAATTCCCCGCCCTCACCCCCCGGCCCGGGAAAATCCCGTATAGCCTAAAAGGCGAGGTAGGGAAGAACAAAAAAAAAAAAAAAAAAAAAAAGCTGGAAAAGGGACCTACACTGCAAAAAAATTACCGTATCACATATAAAGACAGATTAATATTCTCACCTATTCGAAAATCAAGAATAATGATTGAGTGTAAAAATAATTAGAATTATTGCAATAGATTTACAGCAAATATGGGAACAAAGCTCTACTAGTGCGACATCAAAATTGGCAGGTTCAGGCCTGTACCTTTAGCTAGCCTTGACTGGGTATAACTTTTCAGACTTTAATCACTTTGAAAAAAATACTCAGAGGTTCCTGGAATAGAACCTATACCTCCAAGGTTCAGTCTCAACAGTTGGTCACAGCAAAGTTTTCCATAAAACGACGAAGAGAGCCCTTTGTAAAACATGAATTAGGTAAAATTTATAAAAATATTAGCATTCGATAAATTAAATGAAATATCAATCTCCTTACTTTTGATAATTTGATTATATGTCGACGACAGAAGCTGGAATAAATGAAAATATTAAATAAATATATCTTAATATTATTTTCAATATCTTTCAATTAAAATTGTCATATGAAAAGTTTTAATATACCCAGAAATCATTTGTACAGGATTTTAAGCCTCAAATGTAGCGATTTCGGAATACGAGAGCAGGGCAATAATCAAAACAAACCTCTATTATAACCAAAGGAGAAATTATTAGATTTAAAACTAAAGATGAAATAAATTTTATGTTCACAGCAAATGATTAAAAAAAAAAGAAGTCAAATCAAACTCACACTCATGGTCGTTATCCGCCTGTCAATAGATAAATTAGATGTTATACAATTTTCAGTGATATAGATAAAACCCCTTGGGAGAGGTTCTTCGTCTATATCATTAATACATTGGATCGGATTCATTTCATTTCCCCTGCTGATGTCACTAAAACATATTACAATTATAATTTATATAGGAATTATATTTAGAAATACTGACATTAGAAAACTAGTCTGTATATTTCTTAATTTACTTATGTGCTAAATATACATTCATACTTGCAGAGAATCCGAGGAGACTGAATGGTTCCCTTAACTAAGCTAGTAATTTTCATGTTTAGTTCAATTGCTGTTTTACAATAAGATGACTCGAGCAGTACACAATCTCTAGCTAACTGTCCTGCTTTATTTGTAATGTCACTTCGAGCACCTCTCGCCAACAATAACATAACGCAATTGTCAGCAGCTTGACGAGCAGCGATATGCCTAAAATTAAACAAAATCCTATAACATTTCACCAAATACATACATACATTTTTATATTGATCGAAAAACAATGTAAGGTCAGTTACAGAACATGCTATCACGACATGAGTTTTGATTTTGGGAATACTTTGTTCCTCTCCTCAGCATATACTTTGCCTCCTCCATACTGGATAAGTCTTAGAACAACATTGAACAAGCTTATTCTAAGACTTATCTAGGAGTTGGACAAAGTATACATCCTCCTCCCTCCGAAACATACAAATAAAAGTAATAAAAAATAACACCATATATTAAGAATGGTTGTTTATTTATTTATTTATTTGAAATAATTGAAATACATTCTGCCGCATTGGAGGGCATTAATATTAGGGCTACATTAAACATTCACACAATATATACATACAAATGATAACTAAAATAGGGATAAAAGAAAAAGAGTTGTGGAAAGTAAAATAAGAAAATTAACATACATAGGTAAAAAAAAAAAAATAAATAAATAAATAGAAAGAAACTAAATGAAATTGAAATATATAAAACACATTCACATATATACAATATTTACATTCGCCCAGGAGATTCCGAGTCATGCTTTGTCCCCCAAATGTGGAAGTGAAGGCAGGACCCCAGGAGATACCAGTGCTTCTCTTCCAGCCGCGTCACTGGTATTGCAAGCCAGTGGAGACTGGTTTATTAAATTAGACCAATGGGTAAGATGTGAGGACAAAATAATTAATGAAGATCTTTTACCAAACACGTTTTTGTGCTCTTTACAACTCTTAAATAATGATAAATATTAAACCATCATTGAAATAGATAAATCAAATTAAGAGAACGAGAGATCCTTAGAAACAGGAAAAAGGAAAGAAAAACAACAGGAAATTGTTTAAATAATACTTTCAAGATATTTAGGAAACAATAAAACATTAAACTAGTGGGTCCTCAAAAACTTAGAAGCCACATATATCTTAGGTTTTCGAATAATAAAAAAAAAAAAAAATACTTACAACGGAGTATCTCCATGAGCATTACACAAGTTGACAGCAGATCCGTAATTAATTAGGTCTTCTGTAATCTCCATACTGCCAGAGAATGCTGACCAATGTAAAGCAATATTCATTTCCGAATCTCTCAACTGAGGATCGGCTTTCTTCTCAAGTAAATACCTGAAATCATCAATTACATACATATTGAAATACCAATAATATTAAGAAATAATAACACAGAATCGTAAAGAACAAATAGAAAAATATAACTATTGTTCAACTTGAATACCAAACGAAATCGTTTTAGTGACCTATACCTCATTGCTGATTTTTTAATCATGTAACTCCTTAGATATCCTCATGAAGTTGAGTTGAACTAATTCAGAAACTAAAACTTAAAAAAGATACCTTGGACTATTAGAAATAAAATCCAAGTATACAAAATAAATTTAAGCTAAAACATAAGGTGGTAGTAATAATAATTAATCTACACTATAAATATTACGGTAGTAGAGTTCCCTTGTCAGACTCTCAACAGCAACAGATTTTTCAGATTGGGATGAAGGGACCCAAATGGGATTTTTCAGATGAGGTATAAAATGAAAGAGAATGTCATGGACAAGATTCCATGACTAATTCCAATTTTAATACTTAAATTCTTACAATAATAAAAACCATTGAAAAAATTGGAAGGTTTCTAAACTCAGATGGATTCCAAGTCAACAAGTAAAGAAGGGATAAATTGTTTTAAAGATTATGATGAGGTCATCAAGATCCAGTACAGCTCCAAAGGAACTATCGGGCCCTGCATTTTAAAATCCAAAACTGTCCCATTTTCGAGTAAATCTTAACTCTTGCCGAATGACTCTTATGTGTTATGGTTGCCAAAGGATACTTATCACAACTTTAGGTTATAAAAATTAAAATATTGCTTTTTAAGTTAGTCTTCGGCATACTAAAAATCTATTGAAAAGGTAGATGGAGTAAAATGGTACGCTCTATGATCCTTTGGGCACTTCAAATAATATAGAAAGTTTTTGACATATTGAGTAACTAAAAAAATCTGGTGCGCACCACACAACTTTCACTTACCACCTTTTTCTTGGCAGAAATAAGTATTTTCATCAAAAAGGAAGTTAAAGTAAAAATTATAGCCAGTATGAAACATTATTTAAAACAATATTAATATAAACATTAATTACCATATATTTTTATAGCCGTATAATGTATTATATTTGTTTTGTTTGACACTAGATATTTTATTTTAAAACTGTATATTTTAATTATTTATTTTATTATAATAAATAATTAAGTTCGACGAAATATTTTTAGTCTGAAAAGAGTGCCACTGATATAGAAGGCCGCGATATTTAATTATATTTCATTGTGGGTATTTTTATTTGTTCTAGTACCTGAATATATATAAATTTCAATTTCTATATCGCTATAATCTTTAAATTAAATATTAAATAATACAAACGATAGCATCTATGAAAACTGCAAATGTTTATATACATAATATTGTCTGAGTTAGTATTATTTTAGGCTCATGCTATGTATGGAAGCCAGTTCTAATCTTTCAGGTGAGCTTGGGCGTACTCATATTCCTTTGGTCTCTCTATTAAAACTATTCTTTGTTACAATCTCTTATTACTCCTTTAGTTAATTATCGAATTCTTTTATATTTTATACCAGAGTAAATTGTGAAATGGTTAATTACTTCAAATAAAAAAAAAATTGACGGAACTTTAGAGGATGAAGTATTAAAAAATTAGTCATTTAAGCCCAGTTAGAGAACATCAATGAGAATAAAACTTATATTAAATTGAAAACTGCTTAATTTTACACTGGTATAACGAATTTAATAAAAATTCTCTAAGCATAAAAAAAAAGAAGCTTATGGGACACACTAATAGTAACAATAACCTTTCCACAAAACGAATCAGTAAATGTTCTTCAACTAGGAAGGAAGGATAGGTTATAGCAATAGGTCTACTTTATTCTACCCGGAGTTATTTTAATTACATTAATTGAAATACTATTACTATACTTTTTTGTTTATAAAATTTCGGAAAATAATTCTAATCACTTATTTTCAAATACTCATGTTGTTAGTAATATGTTGGTAGCATTACTAAGCAATAAACTCTTTATTTTGTTGTAATTTTATTTAAATTAATGATGATCGCATAAGTATTAAGGCACATTTTTACCCAGAGTATAAAACAATTCTAATTTAAGCAAAAATATCTGCCAAATGATTTTCGATAGATAATCAATTTCAAAAAAATTATTTGTTGCTAAAGTCCACATTACATAAAATGAAATGCATAAATGAATGTTAAAATGTTACCAGAGCCTCTTTTTTAAAAAAAAAATAAGTATCAAAATTATTTGTATTACTCTACCTAACAACATTAGCGTGTCTATTCTCAGCTGCCCAAACTAGAGGTGTCCAAAGACCATCATCGACACAGTCCACGTACGCCAATGGAGTATTAGCAGCTGACAGAAGATAGTGACAAGCTTCAAGGTTACCGATTTTTGCTGCTAAATGCAAAGCAGTCATACCATCACTACCCTGAAATTAAAAATTAAAATACTTATTAACAACAATGATTTAAAATACAGTTATCCATATAAATTATTATTAATTAAAAAATAAAATCCTTTTTAATTTATTCAATAAATACTAATTTTTCTTCTTAACTAATACTAGACCTAACTTTATGGGGAGAAATCTACAAGGATTTTGGAAATCAAACATACCTGTAAGTCAATTGGTTTCATGTCTTAACATGTCTATGAGAGCTGTACTATACGCAATTAATGTATTGTCGTCTAATGTCAGTGACTGTAGTAAGTCATATTTTACCAGTTAGGAGTGATTGCTTAGTGCATATAGAACAAGGGTAGTGCAATTGCGACAAAAATTTAGGATATAATATCGAAATTTTAAAATGTCCAGAAAGATTTAGCGAGATAGCTCATTAGTTTAAAGAGCAGAATATTTGGCGCAGGCAACAATAGACAAAAAAAGAATAAATTTGAAAGTGGATGAATCTCAAGAAGTAGAAGATGCATTTTAGGCTTGATTCATATCAGAAAGAAACAGGCCTGCTTCAGCCAAAATTCTAACAGATAAGGTGAAAATATCTTTTTCTTTTTTTTAAATAATGTAAAAGGATGACATGCAAGTTTCAGTTATGAATTTTCTTTAAAGCAAATAAGGATTGAAAACTTTTTTATGTTTAACATATAGGCACAGGCACACATTTCTAAATAGTTATCGTAAGTAATAGTATTATGTTTTCATATTAATTTATTTAGCTTTTTAACATATGTCCACTAATCTGGCACGACCAATACTAATACATAAGCCAATATTAGTTAAAACCTACAGTAATATTCAACTAGTCTGATTTCCAATGAAATTCCTCCTCAATATCGTTTGCTGAATAAGGAATTCAATTACATAAGATCAAGAATTGGTTTTTAAGATTATTTAAATAATTATATTGAATATATGAAATGATCAAAGGACAAAGAATAAATTTTAAATTTAAACACTCACTTTGAAAGAGACATCTGCTCCAGCTTTGACCAAATACTTAACAACATTATTATGTCCATTTAAAGCAGCAAGCATCAAAGGGGTATACTGAGATTTATCTAAGCTCTCTAAGGCAGAACCAGCCTGCACTAAAATATGAACAACAGACAGGTGACCATTTCCAGCAGCTGCATGCAGAGCCATTAAAGATGAGGTATCCTTGATTGAAAAGTTAGAACTGTCTGTAAAAAGTTATAAATAATTCAAAGGGGTTATTTAAAATAAAATAAAAATAATCATCATAGTAGTTATAATTACTTACTTAACATAGAAAGTAATTTCTCAGCATCTCCATTCTTGCAAGCTTGATAAAAGGCTCTCTGTGAATATCTGTAAAATAAGATTTATAATAAAAAAAAAACTATAAATCACAAATTAAAAGATATGAGAAATTAGTTAATGAAAAATGTGGCAATCAATTGTTAATGAAAGGTTAATTCATTATCAAATATTGATCAACATTAAACTAGCTAGTTATTTAATAAAAATTATTCACTGAACAGGATATGAATTTAAAAATAATTCAATATAATACATTCCATGCTAATAATTAAAAAAAACTATTTATAAAATAACCAATAGTATTAAAAACCCAGAGGTGACACGTATCGAAAAAGTTTGAATATGGGTGGAAAATCCCCTGATATTTCTGAACCAATGATTTAGCACTGTTAAATGAAAATGTAACAGTGGTATGCCAAATATGTGAAAAATTCATCGAGTACGATGAAGAGGTTTACCTGTTTTTCATAGACTTAGAGAAGGCATTCGACAGGATCCCTTGGAATGAGTTATGGGCTTCACTCCGGAATAAACAAGTGTCCAAGGCTCTTATACAGAGCATTAAATCATTCTATAAGACGGGAAAACGGGATCTTAGAACGTCCGATCAAACATCCGCCGAATTTGTCACTACAATGGGAGTCAGGCAGAGAGACATAGGGAGCCCACTATATTTCATTACCCTCATGAATGATTGATTTTATTAAGGAATGTAAGAGGAAAACCAAGGAGACACCACTTGGATATTGGAAATTGCAACCAGTCAACTATTCATTATTTGCATTTGCTGATGACGTTATACTAATAGCAGACAGTAAAGAAAAGTTACAGGCAAATTTAGATGTCTGCACAGAAGAGTTAGCAAAAAGAAATATGGGTGCTATGCACTCCCTAGACAAAGTGTAAGTTAGTGTCCAGAAACAAGAAGAATTTTGGGATTCGCATTCATGAGATGATACAGAAGGTTCCTACGTTCAAGTATTTGGATGTGACGATCAGTGAAAGCGGGAAAATCAGAGACTAAATTAATACTTGAGCTGCCACTTCAGGAAGGATATTCTCTGCCATGGATAGGAAGTTTTCAAGTAAGAGAGAAATGGCAAAAGAAACAAAATTAGCTGTCTATTGCTCGACGTTAGTCTCTATTCTCATTTATGGAAGCGAATCCTGGGCCCTAAAGCAATGTGATCGCAGCCGCCTTCAAAGCATGGAAACGAGATATCTAGTGTGAAGATAACTAGAAACTAGAGAAAATTATGGTGAGATTAAAGGCTAAAAATATTTGTTATTTTTCTGTTGCAAAATTACTTAGTTCACAGATTCTGTGTCAAAACTTAAAAATCAGAATTTATATAACTATTATATACCCCACAATACCATGAATGTGAAATAAGGTTATTTACTTAAGGGATGAATAGCACCTTAAGGTTTTATTAAATAAATAATAACTGATCAAAATATTTGAACCAAAGAGGGATGAGCCAATTGGAGACTGCGCGGCAAATAAAATGAACGATGATGATGAAATTCTAGGGTTAAGTGACAAATGAAATCCTAAAAATCAATAAGTACAGTGCGAAATGGTAAGCACCTGATGTGGAGACTGAAGGGAAGGTAGAAGGATCATGTTAAAGCTGATCTTGCTAGATTGAGTTTGAACGTCTAAGGATAGAAGTACATAAAATTCATAAGTTAACTCTGATAGCACTGCTCTACATTTATATTGTATCTCAGAAGAAAACAGCCTCATTCCAAGTTTTTTGATGGGAGAAATTCTAATTTCAACATAAAAATCATGAGTTAGCTCTAGTTTCACAGATATAGTTACTTTTTGCGTAATATGGGGAAATTTCCTGCTCCTGGGTTGGTAGGATTGATTTATCATCGTGGAAAACCACCAGCCGTGAATCATAGAACCATTTTGCTGACAATGGTTCTCTTGAAGTTACTCTTGACACGATTTTTCTTGCTTCAGGCATTCTTTCAACGATTTTGTCATGATAACCCAGTAGTTTTGGTGAAGTTACAATGCCCAGGATGTGTGTGAATGCTCCTGACAACTTTTGTTACATTTGTGAGTAAGCAATTTTTGCGTTACATTTGTGGGTAAGCAATCTTTGCAAGTCAAAAAAGGCGTATCACCCAGATGATCCACAAGTATTTTGGGGTAAAGGTTGGTGACCAAGATAAAGCGTGGGCCCCGCACATCTGCTGCATTAAATAAAGAAGTAAAAGTATTTCACAAATGATAAAGCTTTTCTATTTAAGCCTAAAAAATGATCGTGTAACTTCCAATAACTTAATTTTTTCGATACTGGGTATACATATCTGCAGAATGATAGCTAATATAAGGATTCTGACAGAAAATTCGAGTTTCTCACACCGAAATTAGTCAAGAGAAACAGTTTTCATCGAAGATACATGCAAAAAAAATTGTTCGTATGGCAGTGTAATTGGGGTCAATATGTTGAAACTATTATCATATCCTGTTATAAATCATTTGGAAATAACAACACATAATAAATAATAAAATGTAAAAACCATCTACAACTTTCTTTTAAACAACAAATAAAAACAAATCGCATGCATATTTAATAAATACAATGTACAAAGTACACATGCAGAATTAAGAAGTGATTCACAAATTTTTGAACACACAACAATAAAAATTAAAAAACAGTGATTCATAAATTCTAGAACACACAAAAATACAAATAGAAACAAGGTTTCTCAAATCAATAAACCTACTTAATAAAATTCAGAAATATATAGATTTGTTAAACTGTCTGATATATCGTTTTTAGTAAGAAAAAATATGAAAGCAGGCAACTATACAAGTCTTTAAGATTTTGCTGGTTTAAAACTGATACATGAACTATTCAGCAAGTGTGCAAGCCCATTGGTCGTCTTTGACACCTCTGTTGGCTACTTAAAAAGTATTGGTCTATCCTAATCAGAGTAATCAGATAAAAATTCTCTTTATGGTAACACAAGCAATATTTTTTTTTTTTTTTTTTTTTTTGACTTGATTCTTCAACTCACACCTGTCAGAAGTTCCGACAATCAGCGAGTGTGATGTCAAGATGAAGAGATTGGTTTTGGAATAGGCGTGAGGGAGAGGAGTACCCAGCGGCGTCCTTCCTGTCTTGAGCGTAATATTTCTAGTTAGTGGAGGAGATCCCTCATCCAGCTTCTTTTAAGCCTCCTTCGGGTGCTATCGGGCATGTTAGTTGTGGCCATGCCTCGAATCAATGAGTTTGTATGTCCGTGTAAGTTATTATGAAATCGTTTGTAGTATGTTCGTATGTGGTCGTTAACTGTTGGCATCTGTAAGTCTTTATGTAGAGTAATGTTACTGACGTACCAGGGAGCTTTGGTAATAGTCCTGAAAGTTTTAGATTGAAAAGTCTGTAATTTACGTATGTGAGTCTTTTTGGCTGTCCCATATATCTGTAAAGCGTAGGTCCAAATAGGCTTGAGTAGGTAAGTATATGTATTCAATTTCTGTCTAAGTTTTAATTTAGAATTTCTTGCAAGGAGTGAGTACAATAGGCGTAGTCTTAGGTTTAAAGTAGTAATATTAATAATTAACAATTAACTAACAAAGATATCGAAGGATTGACAACAAAATGATTCTAACTGAGTGCTTTAAGAACCTTGCCCCAACATACTGGGCCATCACAACCCTTTATAGTCCATACTAAAAGAATTACTTAGAAACAATAAATATTTTGATATCTGGAATTCCTTTAACTTCGAAATTTAATTCAAAATTTTATGTTTTTCTTTCAAATATTCATGAAGTCCAAGTTTGAGCAGACAATGATTGCACCATTGAATAGATATTTTGCCAAAAAAATTTATTTCTCTTAATTGTGGCTCTCTTAAAAAAAATTGTACAGAAATCATTGTGATATAATAAAAATTGTCAAAATTATGAATTTCTTACTTTAACTATGTCACAAGCATTACTCTTATCGGGACGGCAAAAACTACCTATTTTACAAATTATGGAAAATTTACATATCAAATAGTATTTTAGACATCAAAATAAAATGTTACACAGCAAATAAGGATGGTAAAAAGAAAAAAAATAACCATAATACATAAAAAATCCTGACGTCATTGATCTGTGTGATAACAGACTAAATGAGTATATCAGAGGAGAGTGTACCTTTTAATAGCCATTGGTCAGTTAGCCAATGTTTTGTAGTTTAGACTGATAATAAATGAAATAAAGATTGTGATGGCCCAATAGGTTGAGGCAAAGTTCTTACAACACCCAGTTAGAAGTGTAATAGACTAATAGCATCTGGCATAAATATGTTTTTTTTTTTTAATTTACTGAGTTAACTACCGAATTATATAGTAAGCCATCAAATGTTTTAAGGCTATCCCAACAGGGTATTGGCTTCATGTGGTATGAAACTAAGTAAGTATATCAGTCATCGGTCAGACAGCGGAAGTTTATTTGTTTAGAGTTATAATTAAGGAATACTAGAGTTACTTTAGACGTCATGGTGGTGAAGTGTGTTGTGGTAGCATTCTCAAAGCATCAGATTTGGAGTTCAAATCAGTTTCCAGTCAATTATTTCATATCTTCGTCAGTTAATTATTAATTTAACTAGGCTTGTTCTCTTGGAGTAACCATCAGGGCTGTCAAAGACAACAAATAGACTCACCTCAGGATGAAAAGTTCAGTCCACTGTGAGAAGTATTTGTATAACTTAATCATCATTGCCAGCATTCATATATCAAACAGATTGTTGCAGGGTATAAGTATTGTAAACGGAGCAAATAATCATAAAAATCTTGGTATCACTTTCATTTTTGGCCCGATGAAATACCGTTGATTTGAAATGAAATGTCCCTTATAAGCATACAATGTATCAATTTTTATAAGATTATCATAATTTAATTTACCCTTATTGAATGAAATTCTGGTAACAACATCTGACTCCAAAATCTCAGATTATCCATGAAATATATACCCCATTTATATCGCTAAAGACAAATATGAAATGTTATTTTAATTAAATTAGCCTGATTTTACTTAAAAGCACACACATTTTGAGTTAGATGCAACAAATATAAAGAAAAGAAACACACTGTAACAAACCTTAAAAATGACCTAATTGTTATCCAAACGTAACTCACTGGAGACAGTAAGTAAAATGAAGTCCATGTCCACAATAAAGAGATAAAATGATAGATTACATTTAACAATACAAAACAAACCAAACAAACCTCTGAGCAACATCATTTCTAGTAGATAAAGCATGCATTAAGTTTTCTAACTTTTCTTTTTCAACTGAAGGTATTCCATCAGTAGATATTTTCTTTTTGTTGAAGGTGAGATCTTTAGCCGGAACTAGAACTTTCACTTCTTCTTCATCCTTTTCATCAAAACCTCGAAAAGATGTGTGGTTCAAAGTAATTCGAGCAAGAGGACTGAAATTCAAAAGCAAATAAAACTATATCATATAAAGAACATTCATTTTATTGAAATAAAAATCAAGAGAAAAATAATAAAAAGAAAGAAAGAAAAGAAAAAGAAATGTTTAATAAAAACATTATTAGGTCCCTGATCATACACCAAAATGTATAAAAATTGATCATCAACCTTCCACATACAATAGTAAGATTGACCACTGAAAAGAATCCGACATGAGTGAAAGTATCGGGAAGAAAATTTCACAAGAGAGCTCGTTGATTCAAATGATCAGTCATAATAAGTGAAATTGTCCCTTATATAATATGAATTCAAGTGAGGGTATAATAAATTTAATTCCAGTTTGTCTGATATTACAGGAATTGATACTGCCATTATTTGGAAAACAATTAATTTTTTAAGAAGCTATAAACGATTCTATAGAGTATGATAGCTACTCAGTAAGGCACTGTGCTCCTATTCTTCTGGAACTGAGTTCGAACCCAGCTGAGGCAGATAATTATTTATGCAGTTACATCACCCAAGAATTGACCCTCCTAGTGGTCACACATAGTTTTAATAAATTTGGTACTCTTAATTAGGAAAAATCTTGATGTTTGAGCATGGAGAGGAGGAAATATGCCTTTAATGCTAATCATATATACAAGGTATCCCGTAAGTAGAGGGAAATATTTAAAAAATTGATACTAGACTTCAAAATCTACAAAAAAGTTCATACAAAAATTGCCTCATTTCCAGAAGAAAAGCAGGAAATTTAAGACTTGAATTTTTTTAAGCGAGTCGCGTTTTTTGTAGAATAGCAAGCGATAATTTAAAAAATATTTGATCAAAGTAATTAAACATTGCTCCATAGTAAACTAGACAAAATTTAATTTAAGCAGAAGTAGAGTTTGTCATTAAACCAATTTAAAGAATACTATTGAGCAGACAAACACAGCTAAGTGTCTTTTAGAAAATAGTCACAATTTTTTTTTTTTTTTTTTTAACACCATTTGACTGTTCTACATTTATCCCACTTGTGTAAAGAAATGATGTGATTTTCTATACTGTGACTTAAAGGTACCCGTGTTTTCAGCAAAAATGACTATAATTAACTGTTGCAAAGCTTTTATTTATTATTTTCCGTATTGTGAGATGTATTGTAATAAACATAATTGCCTAAAAACATGTTTTATTTATAAAAATAATAAAATCAAAAATAATGATTTCTCAAGTAAGGGTAATTATGCAAGTGTGTTTTTCTCTCTGATTTCTGTGATGCTATAGGAATTAATGTGTATTTATAAGGGAAAAACTTGATGTTTGTTACTCAAATTTACATTCAAAATAAATAAACATACTAATTGCTTCAATCATTCAGGAAAACGTAAATATTAGGACTAGAAACATTACATTTGTCACTTATAAATACGCATCAATTCCTATGACAAAAATATAGGGAAAAAAACAAAATGCGTAGCCACCTTACATAAAAAATAATTGAAAAATCATTATTTTTAAAATGTTTATTGTTGTAAATAAAATGTGTTTTTAGGCAATTATGTTTATTATGATATATCCCACAAGATGGAAAAAAATAAATAAAAGCTTTGCAATAGTTAGTTGTAACCATTTTAGCTGAAAACAGGAGTACTTTTAGGTGACTGGATAGAAAACCACATAATTTCTTTACACATCAGTTGAATCTCAAAATTTTTCCTAATAAACCTCAACTTAATTAATATGGACTTAAAGCTTATTAAACGTGAAAGTTTTTTTAAAAGTGGAGTAAATGTTAGAACAGAAAGGATGTTAAAAAAAAATCACAAATAATTTATGACTTTTCTTAAACAGAACTTAGCTGTGTTTGTCCGCCTAACAGTCCCCCTTAAATAGTTTTAACAATGACAAATAGTACTTTCATTTAAAGTAAATTTTGTCTAATTTACTATGGAGCAATGTTTAATTACTTTAATCAAATATTTTCAAAGTTATCGCTTGCTATACAACAAAGAACGTGACTTGCTTAAAAAAATGTAAATCTTAAATTTCCTATTTTTCTGCCGGAAATAGGGCAATTCAATCGTTTATATGAACTTTTTGGTTGATCTTGATGTCTACTATCGACCTTTTAAATATTTCCCTCTACTTACAGGACATCCTGAGAATACCATTGTATCATTAATATTTATTCATGAAATTGTAAATTGCTAAAATAAGCGGTTGGTGTGTCAACTATACAATCATCTTGAAAATGTATAATGTCAATTTCTCAAAAAATATTAAGTATTAAAAAAGTAAAAATAAACCTTTTTATTTATTTAAATTTAATTCCACAATACAAGAAACAATTAACAAAATTAAATCACAAATTCTTTAATTATTTATTCTGTACGGCATGTTATCATCAGAAACTAAAGGGTCAACAGCAATTAAATCCATTCTGTTTGGGAAATAAAAACTACAAGTTCAGCGATAAGTTATACTAAGAAATGAAAATAGATCATAGAAACTAAATCAATAATTACAATTTATTCGGTGGTTTCTGCATCGGCAAGAACACTGGGTACTGATGAGATCCAAGAGTTAATTTAACTTCAATAAAATCTTCCGAAGCGCAATGAGGACATAGATAGCAATCATCTCTCTTCAGTTCACATTCTTTATGAAAAAAATGATAATCTTTACATTGGTAAAAATTGCCCTGAAAACGTTTAAAGAAGCTCATTACACAACATTGAAAAATCAAATTACAATAAAAATAAATATGCAATAAATAAATAGCAAGAAATAATTTACTTAAGGAAATTATGATAAATCTTTGCGAACAGTTGTCCAAAATGATTATAAAATTACAAGATATATTTTATATTATTTATTATACTTTTATTTCATTACCACACACAATCACTGCTTATTAATCATTTAATTCTTCAAATTACTTTCTTGAGTTTGTTTAAAAATTATAACATCTAATATTAGATTTCTACTAGACAAATTTTGAAATCAATAATACAATTGACTATCATTAATACAATTACTAAATAATAGTTTTAAAAAAATAAGGTGTATGCTTTAGACTACACATTAGAAGTTAAAACATCAACAAGGCGAGATTAATAGTATGAAATATAAATTATAAATAATAGCTTATTATAAAGAGGATGAAATGCTGAACATTTTCTTCGCTTACATTATGCAGGTCCAATTTTTAGTTTCTGAGATATTTTAATTTGTATCTTCCATAAAACTCGTTATCATTTGGTTTTCGAAACAATTTTTTTCTTTTTGCCTCTCTAACATGGCGACACGTTAAGATACTATTTTGAACAATAGCTCATTATAGAGAGGGTGAAATGCTAAACAATTCCCTCACTTACAGTATGGACTAACAATCCCAAGGCTTAAAGTAGTTTCTCAGATATTTCAATCCATATCTTCCATAAAAATCGTTATCATTTAGTTTTTGACACTATTTTTCCTATTTGCCTCTTTAACTTAAGTCGCATTAAGACAAAATTTTGAATAATAGCACATTATAGAGAGGATGAAATGCTGAACCATTCCCTTCCTTACAGTATGCAGATCCAATTTATAGTTTATGAGATATTTTAATCCATATCTGCAATAAAACTTGTTTTTTCCTCTCTAACATGGCACCGTGTCAAGATACAATTTTGAATAATAGCTACTACAAAGAGGATGAAATGAAGAATATTTCCGATCCGAATATTTCACATCCGATCTTTAGTTTTTGAGATATTTTTTTATCCATATGCAAAAACACTACAATTAGTCAACTCCAACGGACTTAACCCAAGCGTTTCACATCAGAGATCTGAGAGCTATATCTAATTCACCCTCCACAAAATGTCCAACATACGCCTAAAGAAATTTTGACTTAAAAAATTAAATATCATACTTCGTGTAAAGGTAATAAACAATGTCTATCATAAATGGATTTGATGAAAAGATGTAGTATAATAGTTTGAACAAAAAATATTTACGTACTAGTTTAGAAGTCATGTCTGGATGATAGATGGGTCAAGATCACATTAATCACACTAGCACAGAATTCTGTAAATAGCCTAGTGTAACCATAAGTATACACTAATCCAGAATTGACACTAGGGTACTAGTACCTAAATATTATTTCAAACATAAACTAAAGACTAAAAATTATCATTGATCATTGAATGATAAAATTATGCATGTATCTCTTGAGAGTATATAAACAGATATATCATTACAATACATAAATATTAAAATATATATTAGCTACCTGAGTGCAAAAAAGTCCACAAGTAGGACAACAATTATGCCTTTTCAATCGCTCGATGTGAACCTGACACATCAACAACATTGGTATGGTTTTACTAGGGCGAAGAAGAGGAGTGTTTTCATCAATTTGATTACAACAACCTATTATTCGACTCTCGAACGTATCTAGAGCACGACAATATCTTGATGTCGAAATACTTCCTTTACTAGGATACAGGCCTCCATCCGTTATACATTCACAAATACCATTAACCCATGCCTGCAACGAAGGTAATAAATATTACTGTTAAAAGTAAGTCAGTAACAATTACTAGTAATAAAATGTAAATTTAAAAAACTCAATCCCAATTTCAGTAAATAAAATATGAAACAAATATAATCACCAATCATAACTAAAATTAAGTGAAACTAGGAAAAAATTATGAAACTCTTCATATTGAACGTTAGCAACCTTGACATATTTAAAGAGCTAAATTACCATATTTGGTATTGTGATGGAAAATAAATATTCAGCTCATTAAAACAATGTAAAATATGGGGTTTTCAAGGTTTGAAAAACATTAAAAAATTGAGTACCTAACAGAAAAGCAACATGGTATCCATTGAATAATTAAGATTTTTTTAAGATTGAAAAGTCGCAAAAAAAAGGTTAAAAATAATTTAATGTAAACAAAAATTAAATAAATTTCCAAAATAAAAAAATAGCAAGAGATAAAGTTAACATATTATTTAATAAGAAAACTTAGATTAATATTACCATTAATGGGATATCACTTTCATACTGAGGAGCTTCAGATGCTTCTGGTGGAACTGGGGAACTGTTTGGTCTAGATTTTTTAGCTAAAAAATAATTGTTATTATAAAATAAAACATCTCTAGCTCAAATAATATTGATTAATTAATAAAACATACCTGGAGGCTGAAGCTGGTCATTATGAAGAGAATACTTGTTTTTCTTTGATTGAAAACTATTGCTACTGATATTTGATGAACTATCTGTACCTAAAAAGTTAAGAATATTTTTTTTAAATAACAAAATATAATTATTGGGTTTAAATTTCAATTTCATTTACCTTTTTCCCATTCATTTTCTGGCTGGAAATTAATAGACAGATCATCTTCTGAAGCATGTTCTGAATCTGCAAGAGAGCTGATTTTTATTGGTGAATAAATTTTAGTTGCCTTCTTTAATTCATTATCAGTATCTACTTCATTAAGACTAACTTTAGATGTCTTCCCATTCAATACTTTGACACTGTCATTGGTTACTTTAGAAGAGGGTAATTCTGTTTCAACAGTTGATTTTAAATTATTTTTTATTGACGATCGTGTTTTTGCAGCACTTTTCTCATCTGATAGTCTAGATGAACGTCTATGTTTATCTTCGGTTGGGTTAAGGGAGTTGAAAGACTTTTCTTTTCTAGCAATAGCATTCTGTAATACAGATTCACGTGAATATTCTTTAGACATTCGGCGAGATGAGCGTTTTAAACCTACTTCTGGATCTGCTTTTTCGATATTTCTGAGAGACCTTCTGCCTTTCTTTTCTGGAACTTCTTCGGAAGTTTGAATTTCGGGAGTTTTGTCTGACTTCTTCTGATTTTCTTTGTTGACTCTCTTCTTTTTTGGTATTTCGGATTCCTCAGGAAGTGCTTTATCAGAAACATTATTCAACTTGGAATCTGGTCTATCATCAACAACCTCACTTTCCTTACCACCCAATATAACAGAATTTATATTGTCTGATGTCTGATTAACTTCTTCAATATTTATTGACTGGTTTATCAAAGAATCCTCATTACTTTCGTCCTCTTTTATCAGTAGTATTTTTTCATCATTGGCAAAACCATTTGCTGCAGGGTCTATTTTAGAGCTAACTGACTCAGGCAATGGGTCATCAATATCATCTTTAAATATTCTAGTATAAGGTATATTACCAATCCCTCTATTAAATTCACTTTTCATTTCACAAAGAATTCTTTTAATTAATGAGCTATCAACCTTATCATTATCACTATTTGTCGATGCCCCTGCATCAAAATCTCCAATATCATCATCAAGTTCATTAGCCAATATGAAATCTGCCATTTTCGGTGATAAATTAAAGAGAAAATATCTCTTTCAGGAACTAAAACAAAGAAAGAACGGGTCAGTGTCTAAAAGAAATGGAGTCCTCCATGAGAATATGGTGAAAGATGGTCAAAAGTTACAGTTTACAAAAAAATACATAACAATAATTAACTTTCGGATTTATTTCCTTTATATTTTAATACAAATCATAACTCGTAAAATACTTATTTTTGAACATTAATTGTGGGTTACTCATTAAGGGTTAAAAGAACCTAACCTTGAAGCCCAACTGAAGTCAATACAGCAGATATTTAAATATTACGGGACCGTAAGAAAAAAACAACTATGGTAGGATTAGATATTATAATTAACTCACCTATAACTTCACGTGGTCGGCCTAAGCAATTATCAAACACTACAAATTTAAACCCATCTCAGGAGTCTAAAAGACAGAAGACCTCCTCAGGGAATGGTCATGGCGGATCACTACGAGTGTGCCGTAAATAATTTCGTCCTTGCTTGTTATTGAAGAGCTCTATCAGTAGCTCCTACAGAATTCCTGCAAATTCTATCAATGAGATCTTTTGAAATTAGAGTGATCTATTTCATAAAAACATTCCTTGAACGCAAAAGAACGCGGAAATTTCCGTAATTAAAATTTCTATTCTTCAGACTCTTTCTTGAAGCTCTAAATTAAGGGACCTCTTTTAAATGTGTGTTTGTAACTAATAATTATAGAAAAGCTCAGTTTATTTCAATATAAACGTGTTTTAGAAACTTCAGTTAAAATTATTTGAAAGATTATCCCGCAGCATCATGATTTTAATGAAATAATTACCCATAGAAATAGATAACAACATTAGTCAGTTCATTAAAACGAGTTGATAATTGATCAGTTTTCTGAAGATAAAATGGCCCTCATTTTTATAGCAGAAGTACGAATTGGAGATGGTCCTAAAATATCTATAGCCACTAGTGCCACCATAGTAAAATGCTAGTTATTCACTAATGCGATTATAAAAAAAATATTCCTTCTATGATTTTCTAATATTTGTAATAGATATATATAGTTCTGTAACCATATAAACATCTAAAACAGGTTAAATTAAGTACAATACAGTCAAAATTAATCACTCGTTCATTATTTCGTGTACAAAACATTTAAAAAATAAAGATTGTTGCATATCAAGCAATTTACTGAAGCCAACAGATCAATTCATTCTTTTATCTATGTTATTTTTCTTTGTCTTCATTCAAGATACATATCTAATCTCATGTCATTTAATAATTACAATATTCCAAACGGCATTGCTGTTCAGAATCCCGTAAGTGAATTTCCTATAATGCTATAAAAAAAAACTATTTATTTAGGTGATTATGAAGATTGAAAAATATCGTAATCCAATTTCTAAAAGAAGATGTATTTCAAAATTTTAAATCTTCAAATTATACATCTAGTACATTGATATTTTATAAATAAATACAATTATCTCGTAAATATAATAAAACTTGCTTCAGATTTTTTCCTTATAAACTGGATTGGAGAATTTAGGTTTAAAAATAATCTGTTGTCAGGTACATTTCTTATTTCTTCCAAATGTGTGATATTGCATTGATTTAAAACTTTTCTTCTTTAACAAATTATTTTGCAAATTTTAGTGAAAAAATCAGGTTTTTTTTTGTGTAAAAATGCAGTGGTTTCCTCTATGTAAATATGGATACATTAGAGAAATGTAACAATAAATATAAAAATTTTGATTATTAGCGACTCTTTGTGTTGTTTATGAATTCGATCAATTTAATATAACTTTAATGTTACTATTCTACTTTCAAGGAAGCTGAGTTCTTTTGACAATTCTAAAAAATATGTTTATCTCATTTTACTATTGAATAAGAGGCTTGGATAAGCTCTGTAGGGAAACAAATCATTGGTAGTAGATACATTCCATAACAGCTCAGTCCAAAATGTGCTTTTATTTTTTAGTTAGGATACCAATGCATATTATTAACATGGATTGGTGAGGATATCTTAAGGCATTTCTTGTCACAAGTATCTTTTGCTCTTCAGGTTGCAGGACTGATTGAATTTATTATCTATGACACTTCTTTTAGAAAGAACATATAAATATACTACTTTAAATTTAATAATAATACTTATAATTTAATAATAATGCTTTATTATTTATATGAAATTATGTCGGGCACTGCAGTCTACGGAAGGCCTTTCAATGAAAGAACTCATCTTGATTCAACTTAAAGTTATTCCATACTAAATCTTTTTAAGAATTTTGGAACTAATAATTGTTAAGGTTCTACTTTCTTTATGAACAATTATGCAAGGAGGTAATCTGATCTTCTTGAGGGTTAAAGTACCTTCTCCAAAGAGAACTTGGTATGCTCTAGCAGTTTCATAATTCTAGAGATCTATTAGTCTATAGAATAGATACCTAAATTTCTACCATATTTATAAACTGGAAGTTGAGAGTAATGAGCATTACTTCCTATCATTCCATGAAAAATTCAAATTTAAATGTAATATTTGATAACCATAGTTGTTTTCAGCATCTGCAAAATAATTAACGTAATTCTTTTATGAGCCCACTATAAAAGAAAAGAAAAAGCTAGCCATCAGTTAAATATAATACTGAAAATTAAAAGTTTATTATTATTACATTTGAGTTCTACCAATGGGTAGTTTCTCTTCATATTTTACATGTCATGTTACCAATGTCACATTTACCTGTTGTATTTTTAATTTAATACAGTTGTAAATTTCAATAAAATTATAAATAAATAAAAAAAAAATAATTATTATTACATGATGAGTGCTATTTCTCACTTGCGTGTTTAGCTAACATTTCCCTTTTAAATAGAAAAATAAAATATTTAAAACATTATATAATTGTTAAATACAGTGAATCCTGAAGAAATAACAAACCATGCAGCTGAAAGTACATTTTTAAAATTAAACCATATAATAAGATTTTCAATATTCTTAAAAATCTAACTAGATTATTTAATTATTCTTTTAACAGATTAAGTTTTAAGAGTTGATGTTAGACTTAAAAATTTCTTTATAACGAATATTATTTTAACCTTCATCCCTAAATATGTAGCTATTTAAACTTCATTTACATTAATGAGAAACAGCAATAGTATCGAATCCTGGCCTTTTATTTCTTGAATAGATGAACTGTAGTTTAAAAAATATCATATAAAACAGCCCAATCCATATATGAAGCGTTCAGAGTTACAGTGGATGAAATCAAAAATGTTTTTAAAAAGTGGATCTCTGGATATGGTATATATTTTATGGTACATATTTGTTAATGGTTTATTTTCAGGAAAAAAAAATTAGATCCATGCTATAATCATAATCTAACTGATGTTCAGTCATCTTCAGCCCTGAAAACCATTAATAAAATTTTGGGGGTAAAACGGACCAAACCTCCTTAATTATTGCTTATGAATTTTCAAATTATACCTCATATTGCTACTGTTAGCGCAAAAGGCCCTATGTAAAAATTGAGTTTATGTTAAAACCAATTATTTCTGTATTCATATTTACCGATTACTACATTTTCTTATTTAGCAGACTACAAAATTTAGCACAAAGAGAATAAACATGTAATTTGCTACATACAACCTTTTGAACTAACAGCAGTGATATATGTTAGTAAATTTTGCTATAATGAAATATACTAAAACAGTAATATTTAACTAGTGTTAATGAATTATAAAATTAAATATAAATTTTGTGGACTAATCAAGTTTAGTTATGAACACTTCATATATATAAAAATGAATGTATGTATTATTTTCTGCCATGGTCTCTCAAATTGTCATATAGGTCAGAGAAATAAATCCTGAGAAGTATGGTGATAGAAATTTATGAAAAAATTTTCCTTAAAATATAGTACTTCTCAAAAATACTGTTTGCAGTCATTATTCATAAAGTGTAGGGACAAACATTTAAGCAATGAGGTATATATGAATATATATTATATAACTTAAGATATGTATTATAATCGGATAATAGGTCATGAAATACACTTAGATGACTTAAAACAACTTCTGTTTATTCCATTTTTTTTTTCAAAAACTTTTCGATCCCTGTTTTTTAACATAAATAATCGGATCCTCTTCGCATCGATACTCCAAGGCGGGCAGCACGCTGACAGACCCAACAGTACCGCCACAAGGACATCAAGCTACTCTCTCTCTCTCTATATATATATATATATATATTCCCAATTAAATAGTTAAGTTTAAATATATATATATTCCCAATAAAATAATTAAGTTTAAATATATATATATTCCCAATTAAATAGTTAAGCTTAAATATATATATATATATTTATCATTAAAATAAAATTATGGAGGAATGGAAAAAAAGTAATAGAACAGTTTTACACATTTGTATGTTTCTTTATCTAGATCAATTTACGAAGAAAACCAGTATTAACATACTTTTAACCACAGGAAAAAATAACTCACATTATTGTTTACTTTAAATGGCTTAATTTCTGGCGCCTCTTTTTTTGCCTTTAATATGTACAGTTTGATGTATAAGTTGGTGATGTAAATAAACAAACCACAGTGAAGACACTCCTATTTCAAGATTTTTCTTCTAGTTTCTTTTGTTGGTTTTCTATATAAATTTTGCTTACTTACACGGTAGGGATTACATTTTTATATACTTATTTTTATGAAATCATCAACTCTTTAGTTTGCAAAAATACATGCATTTAAAAATACTGTTTAAAATTCTAATACAAATTACATATTCAAGGAGATATTTTTTCAAATTTATTTATACTTGTCAAGAATAGTATGTAATTACTTGAATAAGGAATATGTATTGCTTTAAGGAACAATAATTAAAAATTATTTTTTAAAAAGAACAAGCCAAAAATGTACATGAACTAATAACAAAATTGAAATACTTGGCAGTTAAAAAAGGTAACTGACAAAACAAAAATCTTTACAATGTTAAAATGATCTTTCGTTACAAT